ATCCCTTTTTGATTCAGTCTTTGCTTCCGATCCGGTTTTATGATGGTTGGTAGGAGATTTATTAGCCCTTTTTTTGAGTTTTGTGTTGGGGTACTATTCGATTTTCCGATCTTCATTTGTATGGTGGAAAATTCTTTGTTTTGATTCCTTTGATTGGGTTAGTGTTGCGTGTATTGAACTTGCCTTTGTAGAATTCGAAATAATTCGAAAGATCATTTACATGTATTGACTGGTTAGGTGAAACTTTTGGTTTTGAGTTATCTTAAGCTTCTATGGTCTCTGGTTTTTTGACGACTGTGTGTTAGTCTTTTTTTAGGAAATCTTTAAACTATATAATTTGTTGATCGAATTCTATGAAACAGATTGGAGGTCAGCTTTGTGTGTGGCCTGGTTTGAGACAACTTTGCCTCAGGAAAAGCTTATTATACGGAGTAATGTGGTTATTATCCATGCCACTGAAAACATTGCGTGGAGCCAGAAAAACTCTTAAAATTACCCACTTTTGTAGCATTTCCAACATGCCCTCTTCGTTAAAAATCGAACTGGTTAGTATTCCATCTTCAGGCTCTGTTTGTATTCTGTATCTTATGCCAGTGTAAACATTTTATCTAGTTGTCTTTTCTTATTTGTGGGGGATGTTTCAGGTGCCATGCAATAACGAAAACTATGCTTACCTGTTGCACGATGAAGACACCGGCACAGTTGGTGTCGTTGATCCTTCTGAGGCTGGACCTGTTATAGATGCATTGAGCAGGAAAAATTGGAATTTAACTTACATATTGAATACCCATCATCATGATGATCACATTGGGGGGAATGCTGAATTGAAAGAAAGGTATGGCGCAAAGGTAAGGGGATACTGTTTTCGGTTCAAAATTGTATAACATTTTTTCTTGTTTTCTGTCTACTCTTTGCGCAAGTTAGCCCCCTATTCGTCATCAATTGTTCCCTTGGAGTATTCCTTGCATCTGATAGCTCTACTATATAATGGTTTGGTTCTAAGATGTAAAGTGTTAGTCTTAAATGACTTTCTGGCCATTTAAACTCTCACGTGATTTGAAAAAAAGAGATCGAAGTTGACTTCTACTTGCTAGTCATCTGTATTGGGGAGATTTGTTTTGCAACTTTCTTTAGTTTCTTTCCCTTTTTGCTTCTGTGATGTATTCTGAAGTGTTTGTATGTGTGACTTATGTTGCCGACAGGTGATTGGATCAGCTGCGGATAAGGATCGGATTCCTGGAATTGACATACTTCTGAAAGATAGTGATAAGTGGATGTTTGCTGGCCATGAGGTTCGAATAATCGACACTCCTGGCCACACACAAGGTTTGTAGCTGCAATATAACTCTACTGTTAAAACCTATGAACATGTCTTAGTCACTTATTTGTCATTCTCGACACATCACTGTGTGACTTCTCTCCTTTTTCATTGTTCAGTGTAAAAGAACTAGGAATACTTGATGCCATGTTTTACTCTCTAAACTTTTCTTATCAAGCAGGCCATATTAGCTTCTACTTTCCTGGGTCAGCTACAATATTCACAGGAGATCTGATATATAGCTTATCCTGTGGTACCCTCTCAGAAGGTACCCCTGAGCAGGTAACATGCATTGATAATTAGGCCCAAAACCTAACTGGTGAATCTGAAAAATAGCAATATTCAACCTTCGCTATCCTTGAACTGTTATGGTTAATTTCCTGTGGCAAAAATTGTGCTATGTCCTCTTTTAGCGATTATAACCCTTTTTTTTGCCTATGTCTCTCAGATGCTTTCATCACTCCAAAAGATCGTGTCTTTACCAGATGATACAAATATATACTGTGGTCGCGAAAACACAGCAGTAAGTTTATTACGCTCAAATACTGTCTTGTCTCACGTCTTACAACTCTCTCAACACAAATACTGTCTTATCTCCCATTGTTGAACGCTCTGCGACTCAGTGAAGTAAATTCTTTATATGTCATCCATAATACAGGGAAATCTCAAGTTTGCTCTATCTGTAGAACCAAAGAATGAAACTCTTCAGTCCTATGCAACCCGAGTCGCCCATCTTCGCAGCCAGGGACTTCCTTCGGTAAGTATCAC